TTTTGGGTTTTAATAATATTAATCCCAAAGAAATCGGAGGATTTAGAGGATGTGCAGAACTGGAGGCCCATTTCTCTAACAAACTGTATATTAAAGTATTCATGAAGATTTTAGCAAATTGTCTTAATAATTTATGCCAGAAAGTTATCAGTATTCATCAGCAAGACTTCATCAAATGAAAGTTGATTTTGGAATCCATGATAGACATTATGTCTATTATGAGAAATCAGTCTAATCAAACGTGGCAGGGTTGGATGTTGTTTTTAGACCAACAAAAAGCTTTTGATTGTGTTAGTTACATATATTTGCAAGAGGTTTTAACAAAAATGAATTTTGATCCAAGTTTTATACAAACAATTAAGCACTATTTTTGGAACAAACTGCGTTTATAGCAAACTCAGGAATAATATTGGAACCTTTCAGAGTTAATCGTGGGGTGAGGCAAGATGACCCACTCTCACCTCTCCTATACGTACTCACCTTCGAACCCTTTCTTAGGCCACTTGACAAAAACTTAATGGGAATAGCCCTAAATCAACATTCAAGACAACAAAAATTCAAATTAATGGCTTACGCTGATAATCTCACAATTGGTATAGCATCACACGCAGAATGGGATATTATCACCAAAGTGTTCCAGAAATATGAAGATGCGTCTAACGCGAAAATTAAGTCAGTTTTGGTTTCGCTAACGTCTAACGCCCGGCATATAGAACACCAAGAGACAAAAAAGTTTAAAATATTACCAGACAATGAGTCGGTTAAAGTACTAGGATTCGTGTTGGATTCGCAAAGTAGAATAAGTAAGAATACTTGGCCAGAAATGATATTAAAGATAAAAAATATGCTAGGAAAATTATCACAGTGTAGCTTATCTATCAAGAGTAGAATCTTAATAATCAAGACTTTGGTTCTGTCAAAAATTTGGTATCTTACATACCTTGCACCACCGAGCAGAAAACAATTAGTAGAAATTGATAATCTTGTAAGAAGTTGAATTAAGAATTTCTGCAAGATTCTCTCAAGATACTCAATCCTACAACAAGAATATAGGTACGGAGGTCTAACCGCACCAATATTAAAGGACCTAGTAGATGCTAGACTACTTTCTACGTTTGTAAAATTACTTACTAGTAAAAACTGTTAGGCAGAAGCAGAAAAAGAATTAATAAAGGTGGAATTACATAACAAAAGGAATATTACGGTATTAAATATACTTAATGAAATACTATGCAAGAACAGGGGTTGGCCAGAGTTTTGGAAACCTTTTGTTATAGTATAGAAAAGAGCAAAAGAATCTGTAAATAATGGGTTAGAAACATGGCTCTGGAAACCAGAGGAGGTTAAAGTTGCTAATATACCAGGGAATGAATACACGGTATGCTAGGGGGTCTTCTTTTTGAAGAAGGAATTACTGTCGACAGTTATTCAGAAGCAAAAAAATGGTAATGAGAGGAATAAAGACTTCTGAAGTTGGTCTAAAATAAAATGGATCAACAATAAGCATAAGGATATCTTTTGGCATTACTGTCACAGATCACTGCTGTTAGGATACAGGTTAAAGCATATAATACCGAATAACAATAGTGACTGTCCGATATGCCATAAAGAAATCCAAACTAATAAGCATTTTGGGGTAAACTGTAAAAGGAGTAAGATCATATGGGAAGCTGTATACTCATATTTAAACCCAGGGGAGTCCCCTCCAAGAATATACGAGGAAATAATTACGGTATCGAATATTAAAGATGTGGGTAAGAAGAAGATAGCACGCTGGCTACATATTAACACGCTGTATGAGATCTGGTTTTGTTATACACAGATTAGATGGGGCGGAAAGCCAATACCGGAGCCGGCTCTCCCCATAATTGTTAAGAATAGAATTGAGAAGGAGTTCAAAGTTTTAAAATAGTGTAAAAAGAGTAAGATAATGGAAACAAATATACACAATTTTAATTAATAGTAGGTAGATATATAATTAATTAATT